TTCTAGTTTTATTTCAAAAGAAGTATTTTAAAGTCGACTTTGATTAACTTTTCTTAAAGAACTTTTAACTTATTTGTTTATTATTTATTAGTAACAATTACACGTCATGTCATTGTAGCAAGTTCTTAAAATAATTCATCAACTACCCAATAAACACAAAGTTTAAAATGTTCATTTATAATTCAATTCTAGTTCAGTTCTAATTTACATCTAGGTCAGTTACTAGTTCGTTTCTAGTACGGTTATATATCAGTTCTAGTTCAGTTTTAGTGCAGTTCTAGTTCAGTTCTAGTTCAGTTATAGTTTAGTTCTAGTTTAGTTCTAGTTCAGTTCTAGTTCAGTTCTTGTTCAGTTCTAGTTTAGTTCTAGTTTAGTTCTAGTTTAGTTTTAGTTCAGTTCTAGTTCAGGTCTAGTTCAGTTCTAGTTCAGTTCTAGTTCAGTTCTAGTTCAGTTCTAGTTCAGTTCTAGTTCAGTTCTAGTTCAGTTCTAGTTCAGTTCTAGTTCAGTTCTAGTTCAGTTCTAGTTCAGTTCTAGTTCAGTTCTAGTTCAGTTCTAGTTCAGTTCTAGTTCAGTTCTAGTTCAGTTCTAGTTCAGTTCTAGTTCAGTTCTAGTTCAGTTCTAGTTCAGTTCTAGTTCAGTTCTAGTTTCAGTTCTAGTTCAGTTCTAGTTCAGTTCTAGTTCAGTTCTAGTTCAGTTCTAGTTCAGTTCTAGTTCAGTTCTAGTTCAGTTCTAGTTCAGTTCTAGTTCAGTTCTAGTTCAGTTCTAGTTCAGTTCTAGTTCAGTTCTAGTTCAGTTCTAGTTCAGTTCTAGTTCAGTTCTAGTTCAGTTCTAGTTTCAGTTCTAGTTCAGTTCTAGTTCAGTTCTAGTTCAGTTCTAGTTCAGTTCTAGTTCAGTTCTAGTTCAGTTCTAGTTCAGTTCTAGTTCAGTTCTAGTTCAGTTCTAGTTCAGTTCTAGTTCAGTTCTAGTTCAGTTCTAGTTCAGTTCTAGTTCAGTTCTAGTTCAGTTCTAGTTCAGTTCTAGTTCAGTTCTAGTTCAGTTCTAGTTCAGTTCTAGTTCAGTTCTAGTTCAGTAGTTCGTTCTAGTTTCAGTTCTAGTTCAGTTCTAGTTCAGTTCTAGTTCAGTTCTAGTTCAGTTCTAGTTCAGTTCTAGTTCAGTTCTAGTTCAGTTCTAGTTCAGTTCTAGTTCAGTTCTAGTTCAGTTCTAGTTCAGTTCTAGTTCAGTTCTAGTTCAGTTCTAGTTCAGTTCTAGTTCAGTTCTAGTTCAGTTCTAGTTCAGTTCTACTTCAGTTCCAGGTTCAGTTCTAGTTCAGTTCTAATTCATTTCATTTCTAGTTCAATTTCTCATCATAAATGTTTGTTGGGTTTGTAATAATTTTGTAGTTGTGTGAGAACAAGAATATTTACTGAGTTACGTAGTTAGTATTCGTTCATTGCATTGATCTCGAAAAAAATTGTATTGTTGTATTGAACTTGAATACTAGTAATTGTTATGAAGTCATTCATACAGAAAAAAATTAATATTCATTAAAGAATAATTACGTTTTTTCTTAACATATCTAAGTAGGTGTTAAATAATTGTTTTAAAAAAATCCATGTACGTTATATTTCCTACAAATTGTGGGTTGAATTTGTTAACCTCCTTTATGAATGAAACTGTCATTATGTTTGCAATTGTCAAAAGTCTTAACGTATAATTTTAATTTAATATCAAATCGTATCCGTTTAGAAATTATTTTTTATTTCAATTTAATTTTAGTTAAATTTAGAATTGCTGGTATCATAATGTTTAAAAAATTAAGATAAATATAAACAATTTTAAGAACAATAAGAATTAATTTTGTATTCCTTTCACCATGCTGAGAACCTGTTATTTGAAATTCAATGTTTACAATTTCGCTTATCTAAATTTGATTAAATTTAAAATTCCATATTTATGTTGAGATGATTAAATGTGTTAATTGTTTAATAATCTTTAATGTAATTGTTAAAGGATACAAAAATATTTTCTTCCGTTTACAAAAATATCGATTAAATATTCAGGTGTTAAATTTTAATTTAACGAATTATAAATATGCGTACTTAATTAGGTAAGAAGTGGAATATTTTTTGGATTGAGTAGTTTACTTAAATTAGTAGGTAAAACTGAACTAGAGTTAAACTGGAACTGAACTAGAACTGAACTAAAACTTAAATAGAACTGAACTAGAAGTGAACTAGAACTAAACTAGAAACTGAACTAGAAATGTACTAGAACTGAATTAGAAACTAACTAGAACTGAACTAGAAACTAGAACTGAAACTAGAATGTACTAGAACTGAACTAGAACTGAAACTAGAACTGAACTAGAACTGAACTAGAACTGAACTAGAACTGAACTAGAACTGAACTAGAACTGAACTAGAACTGAACTAGAACTGAACTAGAACTGAACTAGAACTGAACTAGAACTGAACTAGAACTGAACTAGAACTGAACTAGAACTGAACTAGAACTGAACTAGAACTGAACTAGAACTGAACTAGGACTGAACTAGAACTGAACTAGAACTGAACTAGAACTGAACTAGAACTGAACTAGAACTGAACTAGAACTGAACTAGAACTGAACTAGAACTGAACTAGAACTGAACTAGGACTGAACTAGAACTAGAACTGAACTAGAACTGAACTAGAACTAGAACTGAACTAAAACTGAACTAGAACTGAACTAGAACTGAACTAGAACTGAACTAGAACTGAACTAGAACTGAACTAGAACTGAACTAGAACTGAACTAGAACTGAACTAGAACTGAACTAGAACTGAACTAGAACTGAACTAGAACTGAACTAAAACTGAACTAGAACTGAACTAGAACTGAACTAGAACTGAACTAGAACTGAACTAGAACTGAACTAGAACTGAACTAGAAATGAACTAGAATATGAATTGAACTAGAACTGAACTAGAACTGAACTAGAACTGAACTAGAACTGAACTAGAACTGAACTAGAACTGAACTAGAACTGAACTAGAACTGAACTAGAACTGAACTAGAACTGAACTAGAACTGAACTAGAACTGAACTAGAACTGAACTAGAACTGAACTAGAACTGAACTAGAACTGAACTAAAACTGAACTAGAACTGAACTTGAATTAAACTCTCTGTCCGTTTATATTTGTTGCTATTTAAATGCCCAACATGCTATAATGGGTTAAAATATTTACAAAAGCTAATAAATATACAATTTAACAATTCTTATTAAAAAATTCCCTCTTATTATAAACTATTTTATTATTAATTTAAACTTTAAAGTATGTAAAGGTTAAAGCACTGAAAAAAGTGAGTGTAGGTACAATGTACTTATGTATATACACAAACTGTTAAATGAATTTTAACTTGATCATAACCTTGATAAAGACGGATTAATTGATTCCAAACTATTCAATCTTAATACATACTAATGAGTGGGGAAATCACAAATAAATGTTCTTTTTCTTTTAAAATAACATGTTTTATATAAAATCAAATGATTCATTATTATCATTAACACGGATTTATTGATATATGTAAGACTAGAACAAAGACTGACACCCGCTCTTTTAAAAATGATTCAGTAAAGAAACGAAAAGGAGAATGTGTTGAATTTATGTTTGGTACAACAACATTGTTTTGTATGTACAGATCAGATTGAAATGAATGAGGAACTACATATATACATATTGTACATGTTTAACAAATTTAATAAAATTTAAAAACACCTAATTAAAAAAATGATTCATTAGTATACCCAAAAGAGATCAAGAGAAAAGAAACGTTGAAATTTATATTTTTATAAACAAATGGTGGTTGCTTGGCAGTTACTTTTTTTTCATTATTTAAAAAGCTAAATGATGTAAAACAATCATTTAGTTTATAAATTATGAACAGTACCGGAATTGTATTGTGTCTTTTTGTCTTGTAGTTTATTAACCATCTACGTAGTTGTTATCTTTTTTTTTCGGTAGTTACAATATGATGAGGGTAAATATACTACCAACAGTTTTGCAAATATTGTATGTATTGTATATTGTTAAGAGTGCGAATATTTTTTTTTTATTATATATTAAACAAACAAATGTTTAGTAACTAATTATAAATGTTTTCATTATAACATATTCATCTCTTTCAAGTGGAACCACTCGTCAAGTCTTGTATTGTTGATATCAAAGTTAAAGATAGGAAAAGTTTTACTAACATATGTATGTTTGTTTGTCGGGCCAAATGATATATTTTTGCACTTTTAACAAGTTAAAAGAAATTTTAATATTTTTTTCTTTGTTTTATGGGCAAACAGAAATAGTTGTTGTTAAATTGGAAATGGGGAAAACTTTTATCCCCTTTTTGTTTCTGAGAAAAATTTCCAAAGTTAAATGAAAATAAACATTTAACTAACATTTAATTTATGAGTGTAAACATCTATTTAGGGTTTTATTTTATGCCAACTTTTGTGTACTTTTTTCTGATTACATTTTAACTATTTACTTAACAAAAGAAAAACTAAATTATATCTTTAACAGTCAGTCAGAGTCAGACAGACAGACAGACAGACAGACACATACAGTAATATATACAAGACTCAATCTAATACAATTATTTATGCCATGTAATTATTACATTTCAGCACGAATAAACTCCATATGAGAAGTAACTTTTAGTTAAGACATAAATGAAGGAACTTAAAATATATATGTATGAAGGAAAAACTTTTGCGCATGCGTTGTTATTTTTGTCATGCCATAATTAAATATTTATTGCGTTCTTGACTTCCAATTGTGGAGTTGAAATTATAACGCATGCCGTCTTAACTTTACAAAAATAGTAAAAATAATTTATTTTAAACAAAAAACTGTAACCGTAGGTGTTTATGGTTATGTAGAATAGTAAAGACCTTACTATAAGTTGTAGTTTAAAATATAACATCTTTTTTTTTAGAAAAAAATTAACTAATAATATTATTTTTTTAATTCTAATTTCAGTTTTATGGCATTTTAAGTAACATCAGCTTACACATTCATACATACAGTTAAAACAATGGCTCAACTTAATTATAAAATCATTTGATTTCCACAATATTTATTGTATTATTGCATTTAACAATATGGCTGCCACAAAGCACAACATTACCACAAGGTGCACCGGAAACAATATGTGACACAATGTTGCCATTTCACGGTGGCGGCATATTACCCTCAAATGCTGTGCCACCATTTCGAATAGAAACGTCAACGGCCACTATAGGTCAGGGACAAACACTGCGTGTTGATATTACGGGTGTACCAAGTGGTTTAGCATTTGGCGGTTTTATGATACAAGCACGCAACAATAACCCACCGTATCAAATTGTAAGTGTATTAGTATTATTTTGCAAATTATTTTTAATTTGTTAAAAAATTGTATGTTTTTTTTTTTTGTAATTTTACAGATTGGTCAATTTAATCCCTCCGAAGATGGTCTTTCAAAATTGATGAATTGTGAAAATTCTGTCAGAAATTCTGTAACACATACCAGTACAGTGCCTAAAACCGAAATAAGTTTGGAATGGCAATCACCAGTGGATTTTGAAGGTGAAATTGTTTTCAAGTAAGTTTTGTTCTTATAGATAAATAGATTGATAGGTAGGTAGGTAGATTAGATAGATCGATAGATGATAGATAGATAGATAGATGAAGATAGATAGATAGATAGATAGATAGATAGATAGATAGATAGATAGATAGATAGATAGATAGATAGATAGAAGATAGATAGATAGATAGATAGATAGATAGATAGATAGATAGATAGATAGATAGATAGATAGATAGATAGATAGATAGATAGATAGATAGATAGATAGATAGATAGATAGATAGATAGATAGATAGATAGATAGATAGATAGATAGATAGATAGATAGATTAGATAGATAGATAGATAGATAGATAGATAGATAGATAGATAGATAGATAGATAGATAGATAGATAGATAGATAGATAGATAGATAGATAGATAGATAGATAGATAGATAGATAGATAGATAGATAGATAGATAGATAGATAGGATAGATAGATAGATAGATAGATAGATAGATAGATAGATAGATAGATAGATAGATAGATAGATAGATATAGATAGATAGATAGATAGATAGATAGATAGATAGATAGATAGATAGATAGATAGATAGATAGATAGATAGATAGATAGATAGATAGATAGATAGATAGCTAGATAGATAGATAGATAGATAGATAGATAGATAGATAGTAGATAGATAGATAGATAGATAGATAGATAGATAGATAGATAGATAGATAGATAGATAGATAGATAGATAGATAGATAGATAGATAGATAGATGATAGATAGATAGATAGATAGATAGATAGATAGATAGATAGATAGATAGATAGATAGATAGATAGATAGATAGATAGATAGATAGATAGATAGATAGATAGATAGATAGCTAGATAGATAGATAGATAGATAGATAGATAGATAGATAGATAGTAGATAGATAGCATAGATAGATAGATAGATAGATAGATAGATAGATAGATAGATAGATAGATAGATAGATAGATAGATAGATAGATAGATAGATAGATAGATAAATAGATAGATAGATAGGTAAATACTGTTCCATAAATTTAAATAAATTTCACCCCTTTCTAAAATGTGCTACATTTACAGTTCCACCACCTTTAAAAGAAATTTTCTAAAGATCTAAGTTTTCAAAATATTGGATTTCAACACGAACGATTAATTTCCATTTATTTAATTCCCTCTTTTATCATTTTCTTAGCTCTACAGTAGCTCAAGCTTATGATACCTTCTGGGTTGGCTTACCTTCTTCCCCTGTGAGTGTCGTTAAACGTGAAATAGCACCACAAGGTCCAACAACGCCTAGACCATCTTTTGCGCCCAGTACACGTACACCCTATGTGCCAGAATATGTACCACCACCACCAGCTCCAGTAGCCGAAGATCCTTTCTATGCTGAATGTGGCACTAGTAAAAATTGTTTTGGCAACAAAGACGGCTGTGTGGATAGTAAAACATGTGATTTTGTTGCAGCTGTTAAAGTAAGGGGAGGAATTTATGAATTCGAATTGAAATCTAAGGCGGGTAAGTGACAACTTTAAAAATAGCTAAAAAGTTTCCAGTTACTTACATTTCAATGTAATTGTGTTGTTTAGCCAATGCCGCTTATGTTGCCTTGGGTCTTTCCGAAGACAATCAAATGGGTGATGATTTGGTTATAGAGTGTATACCACAAAATGGCAAGGTTTCTATGTATAGTTCCCTGACATCGGGTAAAGCGGCTGGTTATGGTGTTAGTCGTTTGGGAGTGGTAGGTTTCATGTTTTTTTTATTTTAATTAAAAAAGTTTTAAAACATTTTCCCTTACCTTTTTATAGCCTCAAAATACTGCCCGTTTGGTAGAGAGTTCAGTGGTGAATGGTGTTATTTACTGTAAAGTAGAACGTGATCCTGTTACCAAAGTTGGAAATCGCATATTTGATTTGGAAAATAATAAATACTATTTACTTTTGGCGGCTGGTTCCGGTTTAAAAGGTATTTGGGAAATGTTGTTTAAATAAAAAGACAATTTTTTTAAACTAATCCAACTTTTTTCTAGAAAATGGTGTTGGTTATCATAATATAGGCCGTTTACCTTCCGATAAAGCTATTAATTTGGCGGATTTACAAGATTTGGGTGCTGCCTCTACCTTAATGCTGCGTTTACATGGCAGTTTTATGATAGCTGCCTGGATAGGTACTACTTCCTTGGGTATTATTTTCGCCCGTTATTTCAAACAAACTTGGGTGGGCAGTCAAATGTGTGGCAAGGATCAATGGTTTGCTGTAAGTTTAGAAAAAAGAAAAACTGCTTTTAATTCACAATATTATTTATATCACAAAACCTCACTTATCTTTTATAGTGGCATCGTATTTGTATGGTTACCACTTGGTCTTTGACTATGGCTGCCTTTATTATCATTTTCGTGGAGATAGATGGCTGGTCTGGTGAACGTAATCCTCATGCTATTTTGGGTACTATTACCACAATATTATGCTTTATACAACCTATTGGTGCTTTATTTAGACCAGCTCCTAATTCCAAAAATCGTCCCTTCTTCAATTGGGCCCATTGGTTGGGTGGCAATTTAGCTCATTTATTGGCCAGTAAGTTTGTCTATCAAAAAATAACTTTAATATATAAAATAATTAACTTTTATAATTCTATTTTGCTTTTTAGTTGTTACCATATTCTTTTCGGTAAAATTAGCTAAAGCTCAGCTACCGGAATGGATGGATTGGATATTGGTGGCCTATGTTGCTTTCCATGTTGTGGTACATTTAATATTTTCAGTAAGTATTAAGATAAACCAACAATTTGGTTGCTTAAACTTTTTGGGGGAGAAACTGGTTACAATGGTAAAAAAGAAGAAAAATAAATAAATATAATTTATGTTTTCTACTAAGATTTTACCTTTGTAACTACTACTTCCTCCTCCATCTTTTCTATTTTCTTTTTTATTTTAGCAATTTTTGTAAAATATATTTTTCTTAATTTTTTTACAATAAACGTTACGAAAACGTTAAACTTTTTCCCGCATGAGTTTTCCCTTTAATATCAACTGTTGTATATATTCCCGTATTTTAGAGCTAACTCATGTTCCTTAATGATTTTATATGTTGTAAATTTTTGTAATAACTAAATTCTATGAGAATTCACTTTTAATTGAAAAATATTGATAATTAATATAAATTTTTTTTAATAATTGTAAATATTTTATGATGAGAAATGAAAAAAGTAAATAAATTTTACATAAAATCATTAGTTACTAATTTCCCCTTCACTCGACTATCGTTCTGAACTTTTAACTACCAACCATTAATATAGATTTTCTTGTGTATTCAGATATCGGGCTGTTCATCGGATAAGCAGCATACGAAACGTGTTAATGATTTCCAAATGGGCAATATGGGTCATCATCATGGTATGCGTAATAATATGAAAATGGAACGTAAAATGGATGCACCAGTAAGTAGTACATATAAGGTTTTTTTTTTCTCTGGAAACACTTTTTAAATTTTAAATGAAAATCTTTAGTGTAGACTATAGTCAAGACTATTAACTAAACTAGACTATAAATTAGACAATGCTATAAACTAGACTATAGACTAGACTATAGACTTAACTATAGACTAGACTACAGACTAAACTATAGACAAGCCTATAGACTAGACTATATACTAGACTATATACTAGACTATAGACTAGACTATATACTAGACTATAGACTAATCTATATTCTAATCTATACTCTAATCTATGGTCTAGTCTATAGTCTAGTCTATAGTCTAATCTATGGTCTAGTCTATAGTCTAGTCTATAGTCTAATCTATAGTCTAGTCTATAGTCTAGTCTATAGTCTAGTCTATAGTCTAGTCTATAGTCTAGTCTATAGTCTAATCTATAGTCTAGTCTATAGTGTAGTCTATAGTCTAGTCTATAGTCTAGTCTATAGTCTAGTCTATAGTCGTCTATAGTCTAGCCTATAGTCTAGTCTATAGTTTAGTATATAGTTTAGTCTATAGTCTAGTCTATAGTCTAGTCTATAGTCTAGCCTATAGTCTAGTCTATAGTTTAGTATATAGTTTAGTCTATAGTCTAGTCTATAGTCTAGTCTATAGTCTAATCTATAGTCTAGTCTATAGTGTAGTCTATAGTCTAGTCTATAGTCTAGTCTATAGTCTAGTCTATAGTCTAGTCTATAGTCTAGCCTATAGTCTAGTCTATAGTTTAGTATATAGTTTAGTCTATAGTCAGTCTATAGTCTAGTCTATAGTCTAGTCTATAGTCTAATCTATAGTCTAGTCTATAGTCTAGTCTATAGTCTAGTCTATAGTCTAGTCTATAGTCTAGTCTATAGTCTAATCTATAGTCTAGTCTATAGTGTAGTCTATAGTCTAGTCTATAGTCTAGTCTATAGTCTAGCCTATAGTCTAGTCTATAGTTTAGTATATAGTTTAGTCTATAGTCTAGTCTATAGTTAGACTAGACTATAGACTAAAGCATAGGCTAAAAATAGACTAATCTTTAATCAACGATATAGACTAGACTATAGGCTAGACGACTATAGACTTAACTATAGACTAGATTATAGACTAGACTATAGATTAGACTATAGACTAGACTATAGATTAGACTGTAGACTAGACTATAGATTAGACTATAGACTAGACTATAAACTAGAATATAGACTAGACTACAGATTAGACTATAAACTAAACTATAGACTAGATTATAGATTAGACTATAGACTAGACTATAGACTAGACTATAGACTAGACTAAAGAATAGACTATAGACTAGACTATAGACTAGACTATAGACTAGACTATAGACTAGACTATAGACTAGACTATAGACTAGACTATAGACTAGACTATAGACTAGAATATAGACTAGACTATAGACTAGACTATAGACTAGACTACAGACTAGACTATAGACTAGACTAGACTAGACTAGACTATACTATAGACTATACTATAGACTATACTATAGACTAGACTATAGACTAGACTATAGACTAGACTATAGACTAGACTATAGACTAGACTATAGACTAGACTATAGGACTAGGACTATAGACTAGACTATAGACTATGACTATAGGACTAGACTATAGACTAGACTATAGACTAGACTATAGACTAGACTATAGACTAGACTATAGACTAGACTATAGACTAGACTATAGACTAGACTATAGACTAGACTATAGACTCGACTATAGACTAGACTATAGACTAGACTATAGACTAGACTATAGACTAGACTATAGACTAGACTATAGACTAGACTATAGCCTAGACTATAGACTAGACTATAGACTAGACTATAGACTAGACTATAGACTAGACCTATAGACTAGACTATAGACTAGACTATAGACTAGACTATAGACTAGACTATAGACTAGACTGTAGACTAGACTATAGACTAGACTATAGACTAGACTATAGACTAGACTATAGACTAGACTATAGAGACTAGATAGACTATAGACTAGACTATAGACTAGACTATAGACTAGACTATAGACGACTATAGACTAGACTATAGACTGACTATAGACTAGACTATAGACTAGACTATAGACTAGACTATAGACTAGACTATAGACTAGACTATAGACTAGACTATAGACGAGACTATAGACTAGACTATAGACTAGACTATAGACTAGACTATAGACTAGACTATAGACTAGACTATAGACTAGACTACAGATTAGACTACAGATTAGACTATAGACTAGACTATAGACTAGACAATAGACTAGGCTATAGACTAGAATATAGACTAGACTATAGACTAGACTATAGACTAGACTATAGACTAGACTATAGACTAGACTATAGACTAGACTAGACTAGACTATAGACTAGACTATAGACTAGACTATAGACTAGACTATAGACTAGACTATAGACTAGACTATAGACTAGACTATAGACTAGACTATAGACTAGACTATAGACTAGACTATAGACTAGACTATAGACTAGACTATAGACTAGACTATAGACTAGACTATAGACTAGACTATAGACTAGACTATAGACTAGACTATAGACTAGACTATAGACTAGACTATATACTAGAAAATAGACTAGACTAAAACTGGACAATAGACTATACCATAGAATAGACTGGAATATAGACTAACTACACTATAAACTAGACTATATAGATCAACTTCATACATTCCCCCATTTTGAGTTGTATTTTTTGAATTTTAAAATGTTCCTTTACCTGTTTATGATATTATTCATTATATTGATATTTTTTCATTTTTATTTCATTTTACACATACTTCTCTTCTCTATCTCTATTTTTACAGTATGCCGGTTTCCGCAAGGGTTTATTGGCTGTTTACACAGTGGTCTTAATTTTATTCGTAGTGGCTTTAATAGTTATAGTAGCTTTAGCGCCCATAGAGGATACCTTTAATAAATTAAAATCAAAACTAAATTAAAACTGTTGTGTTAAATAAAAAATAATGTAAAATTAATTAGCGTACAAAAAAAAAAACGGAAAAAAGAAAGAAGAAACAAAAACAATCTCAAAAACAAATTAATTTGTTCAATTTTGGCTCAAAATAAAATATTTATACATAAAAATTAATGAAACAAAAATGTAAACAACTCCTTTAAAAGGAGTAAACAAGTAACAGTGTATATGTATGTTTTTAAATTTTTTTTCTTTTTAATTTTCTTTGTTTTTATTATTATTGTAAATGTGTATTTCTTTTACTTTACTTTTTTTTAACCTAAGTGCTACTCAATACTGTTTTTTTTTTAATTAATTATTATGTATTTTAATTAATTATTTTAATAATTGTATGTATATTGTTTTTATTGTTATACTATTGTAAACAAAAGTGAGAAAAATCCATCAATCAATATACTAGTTATAAGTATGAATGTAATTTTTTAAGGAGTGTTTTTATTTACACTTTGTAATATTTTATTAAAGTTTTTTTTTTTTGTTTTTATAAAAATCATTTTGTAAAGTATTAATAAAGAGAAGAAGAAAAAAACTCAAAAGCAAAATGCTGTTGTTGCAGCTATGGGGTTGATGTTGTTAAGTTGTTGGTTTTTAGAACTATTTGTTCTTAAGATTTTATTTAATTTCTTTTAATTGTGGGCCTTTTCTTATGCTTATTTTCATTATAACTTAAAAAGAAAGTTTTTATTTATATATATAGACGTTTATCCAGACTTATTTATTATTTTCACTATTTTATTTAGTTTTTTTTTTTTTTTTTTGCATTTACCAAAAGAGAATTTGTTGTTTTAGTTTATTTACTATTTATTAGATGTTAATGTTGGAGGAATTTTTATATTAATGTTTATGTCTTGTTGCAATGTTGTTTCTCTCTAAATGTTGATGAGTTTTCTCTGTGTGATAACTATGACCATAAATACGTTTAAATTGATAAGTTTTAAAAATGTAGCTGCTGCGTTCACTTCGTTAAATTGTGTTGTAGTTTTTCTTGTTTCTTTGTTTGTTTATAATTTATTCCTCTTAATGCAATAATTACGTTTATATGTTTTCAAATTATAATAATAATAATGTGTTTTTTTTAAGCAAATGTTATGAATATTTCAAATGTTTAATTTAAAAAATGAATATGCTTTAAGGTAGGTTTTTCTTAAGGGTGGAGAGGGGGGAGTTTAGGAGTTGTATTTATCATATTTATTTAATTTATTTTGTTTCCCAAAGCGTAAGGATTTAAAATCATCGTTCTTCTAGTATGACAGTCTCCTGAGGATACAATTTTAATGCTTGCAATGTTTGCTGGGCATCTATAGAGGTCAAATCACGTCGTGGCCAACTGGATATTAATTTAAACTCATCAATTAAGAAACCATTCGATGCTACATAGTTTAATAGATCCTAGAATAACAAAAAAATCAATTAGAATTTGTTTAAATGCAAAAATGGTTAAGTATTTATATTTCTTACCTGTAAAGTATTATTTGCATAAAATCTACGTTCTAAAAAGTCTCCAGTTGGTTTACGTACTCGAATTTTCGAAATATTCGATTCCGTTTCAGCTGGTTCTTTGGGTAATGATTGTTCAGCCTAAAAAAAACATTAACATATTTATGTTTTAAACATATTTTTGTTGTAGTTTTAAGGAAATAAGCTTTTTAAGTTAAGTTCGAAAATTTTCAAAAATTCGAACTTAAATTCGAAAATTTTTTAAAACTATTGCAATAATCTTTTAATCATAAGGATCCATAAAAATACAAATTTAGTTCTATTTGAGGACTATTTCAAGAATTTTGAAGCATTTCCAGAAAATAAAATTTTCGAAATTAAGTTCGAAAATTTGTTAAAATAATTTTTATTTTAAAATATTTAAAAATTTTGAAGCATTTTCGATGTAATTGAAGAAAATAAGCTTTTTAAGTTAAGTTCGAAAATTTTTGAAATTTCGAATTTAAGTTCGAAAATGTTTTAAAACTGTTAAAATAATCTTTGTATTATAAGGAATCATAAAAATATAAATTATGTTTTATTTGAAAATTATTTTTCGCTTTTTTCAATTTCGAACTTTAAAATTTTGAAAATTATTTAAAAATTTTCATCAATTTTGAAAATAATTTAAAAAATTTTATCAATTCTAAAAATAGCTAAATTTTCATGAATTTTAAAGACAAAAGTTTAGTCTATAGAATAGATTAGAATAGACTAAAGTCTAGTCTATAGAATGGACTAAAGTCTAGTCTATATAATAGACTAAAGTCTAGTCTATATAATAGACTAAAGTCTAGTCTATAGAATAGACCAGTCTATAGAATAGACCAAAGTCTAGTCTATATAATAGACTAAAGTCTAGTCTATATAATAGACTAAAGTCTAGTCTATAGAATAGACCAAAGTCTAGTCTATAGAATAGACCAAAGTCTAGTCTATAGAATAGGCCAAAGTCTAGTCTATAGAATAGGCCAAAATCTAGTCTATAGAATAGACCAAAGTATAGTCTATAGAATAGACCAAAGTCTAGTCTATAGAATAGACCAAAGTCTAGTCTATAGAATAGACCAAAGTCTAGTCTATAGAATAGACCAAAGTCTAGTCTATAGAATAGGCCAAAGTCTAGTCTATAGAATAGGCCAAAATCTAGTCTATAGAATAGACCAAAGTCTAGTCTATAGAATAGACCAAAGTCTAGTCTATAGAATAGAACAAAGTCTAGTCTATAGAATAGACCAAAGTCTAGTCTATAGAATAGACCAAAGTCTAGTCTATAGAATAGACCAAAGTCTAGTCTATAGAATAGACCAAAGTCTAGTCTATAGAATAGACCAAAGTCTAGTCTATAGAATAGACCAAAGTCTAGTCTATAGAATAGACCAAAGTCTAGTCTATAGAATAGACCAAAGTCTAGTCTGTAGAATAGGCCAAAGTCTAGTCTATAGAATAGGCCGGAGTCTAGTCTATAGAATAGGCCAAAGTCTAGTCTATAGAATAGGCCAAAGTCTAGTCTATCGAAGAGGCCAAAGTCTTGTCTATAGAATAGACCGAAGTCTAGTCTATAGACTTTAGAATAGACCGAAGTCTAGTCTATAGACTTTAGAATAGACCGAAGTCTAGTCTATAGAATAGACCGAAGACTAAAGACTATTCTATAGAATAGACTAAAGTCTAGTCTATAGGATAGTCTAATGTCTAGTCTATAGAATAGACTAAAGTTTAGTCTCGAAAATATAAACTTAAGTTAGATCATCTTCACTCACCACTAATCTAATCGATTCACGTCTAGCATCTTCTTCGGCTTTTTCCGATTCCAAACGTTGACGTTCAGCTGCTAGAGCAGCTTCTTTTTGACGTTTAGCAGCTTCTTTGGCAATATCAGCCTGTAATGTTTCCTGATAAGCCATATCTTGTTCGGCTTTAACTTGATCGCGAGCAGCACGTGCATCTTCTTCGCTAATTTCACCTTGTAAATGTTGATTGTACATTTCAACCGATTCCAATAAACGAGACAATAAATCATCCAAACCAACATTGCCTTTTAAAATATAACAAAAAATAGATTAATTTTTGAATTAACTATAAATTAGTATAAAACTCACCATGAATCACAGATAAAATTTCGCACGATGTACGACCCGATAAACGACTTTTACCAATTACCAATATCGAAGGTAATTTATCTATAGAAATATTACGTACAGTCATGGAGGCGGTATTACTAATGCAGCCAGTAACCGAGGATAAAAATCTACATGAATTTATAAAAAATTTAAATATTTTTCCTTAATTATAGTTAAACAACAAACTTACAAATGTTTATTGCTTTCATGCGTTAAATCCCAGCCATAAACAATAAAATTTTCAGCAAATGTTTGTAATATGCTTTCATGTTTCATTAAACGATCACAGAAAACATTTGTTAAAATACTTTCACCATGATGTAAATAAATCGCCAATAATTTGCGCTGTTATTTGAGATAAACAAAAATTAAATTTCAAATTTTTTGGTTTTTTATAATTAAAAAATTTACCTCTCTAGCTGGTTTGTGACAGGCCTCTTTAAGGGCATCTTCTAGACTGCCCGTAAAGAAGAGGGGACATGGTTCACCAAAACGTTGTTTATAATTTTCAACAAACTGTAAGGAGCCCGTTGTTTCACTGTCTGTATTATTGGGTACTAGGGGAAAAGAGTTTTTTTTAAGAATGATTTCAAGCAAATTTATAGCGGAACTTACTTAAATGTCTGGTTGTGGATTGTACTGGTGGAGGATCTGTGAAGAATTCTTCACAGGCATTAAAGTCTGAGGCATCTTCAAATTCATCAGCCGAACTATCAGTATCAAGACCAACAGCACTAAGAAAAGTAAGAAAGTTTTATTTATTGTTATCATTGAAACAAATTGAAACAACTCACTTGGAACTTCTTGTTGTGGAAGATGAATTATTAGTATTATTACGCATTTTATCAGCTGCATTATGTAGTATAAAATTGTGATTTAATTGTATGCCAGATTGCTAAAGAGCGAACGTAAACCAAAATATTATTAGAAAAAAGTTCGAAATACTTAAAGACAAAAGAAAACCTACCGCTAATGTTGTTTCATTATCACAACCATGAGGCCAACCAGTCCATTCTTGATGTCTCACGGCAATCTCTGTAACATAGTAAACTTTTGTTTTTACATCCTCTACGGTAGTGCGACCAGAGAAATTCAATTCATGTCTTACGCCACTGGGCTGTTGGACAATGGTAAGTACAAAATTTTTATCCAAACGGCTAGAGACTTCATCACTAATAAGAAAAGTTAAATTAATTGAAATTAAATTTATATAAATGTAGATCAATACTTTTCAAAATCCATATAGCCTTCTTCGGTTAAATCAATCAATATTAATTCATTTTCACCCGACAAACCTAAGCTAGACAATTGAGTTGTTGGTATTTGAGCTTGATTTAATTTAGCAGGCGGCCAGCCGCGTATTGCTTGACGACATATCGGCACTCCAGTAACATCGTGTATCTTATTCTTCAATTGTTCTGTAATTGTTAAAGAAAGTCAAGGATTCTTAAAAGTCGATATCGCAACAAAACCTTGCAACACTCACCAATAGTTGAAGTGGAGGGCAGTCGTATATCATAAATTTGTTGATCAAAATGTATATTAAATATAATTTGCCTTATCAATGAGGGTGCTGATGATGATGACAATGAAGCCATTGCATTTGTTGATGTTCTATGCTCAGCTATATCCATATCTGAGGTGAGATCAATTATATCGGCATCTGATGATGTTGAAGCAACTACAAATTATAAAAACCATATTTGTTTATGTAAAAATTCACATGCGAAAATGACTAATAGTTATGACTAATTAAAATTAACAGTTAAATAGTTATTCAATAAATAAAAGTGGTAAAATGTTTTAACCGTTGTGTCAGCACTTGAGAAAATTAAAGTCATTGCAGGTCAATGTCCTTTTAGTCGTTTATAAAATGAATATTGAAGAAATTAAAGATCAGCATAAATTTTGCAATTAGACTTTTTAAGGAACTACGGCCGATATTAAGTTTTCATAGAAAACATAGATTTTTGATGAAAAATTGTAGTCGCCCACTTATTCAAGTTGTTTAGCGATTGTTTATGTTTTCAGCTGATTTTAGATTTTTCACAAAAAAATCTGGTTTTAATGAAAAATGTAAGTGATCACAGATCAACGTTTATAAAGCTATATAAGGAACTACAGCTGATTTTAGAAAGCAAATTTTTGGAGTAAAATAGAGGTAATTACAAATCAACGACCGCTAATTATGAAACTACAATCTAATATAGATATTTCATGAAAAAAAAAACAACAAATTTTTGATGGAAATTTTTAACTATTAAAGTCTTTTTTACAACTGCATCACTATATAAGGAACTACTAAGCTATTAAGCTTTTTGCTTAATTTACCTGGTACGAATGCACTTTCAGCAGCACTGCTGCCCAGATTATTTGTGGAGGCATTTTTCAGCCAACGAGGACAATTTCTAGTGGATGGGCCAGGTGCAGTAGAGAAATTATTTAAAGCTGAACTACTGCTGGCATTACGACCCAATAGACCTGAAGATTCCGATCTCAGCGAAGGAACAACTGGTGTGTCTAGCGTAGGATCATCTTGTGGTATGACCCTTTGTATAGCAGCCTATAAAACGTAAACATAAACATTAAGAAACTCTTTTCAAACGAAAAACACTCAATACCCACCATTAAATCCCAATTACAATCCTCCAAATGGGAAAATGCTTCACCCACATCATCTATACCAGTTATGCTCTACAAATATAAATTTAATTTAGCTTTAGTTCACAACATTTCCTAACAAATAAACTATTAATAATTATACCTGAAAATTGGCCAATATTTCATCTTTGTTTTCAGACATGTTGTTGAACGAAAAAAAAATTCTTCTTCTATTTGTTGACTGCGTAGATAACGTAGAAAACACAGAAGTGGGGGCCTAATGGCTACAAAAAGCAAAAAAATAAAGAAAAAAATTCCACTTGCTGCAACTTTACACCCTGTTTAATAGTTTCTTTGTTGCACTGCTTAAATATGTTTATCTTTCTATTGTTTTTTATAAGTGTGTAGTTTACGTAAAATTAATAACAAATTACTTTTGACAATTATTTAATTTAATTTTCTTATTGTGAAAAAAAAAAACACAACGATTTCTTCACACACAACTTGCACAAAATCGTCAGAGTCACTCTCTGCTCTCTAGACGTTCTTTTTCACGTTCTTCTTCGTCGTTTTGCACAAAAACACTTGAGATGAAAACAATCAATTTTTTTGCAATTTTCTTCGCAACACTTGCCACCAGCACTTCTTGTAGGTTTTTCTAATAATTTAAAGATCTATAAATCAATGGGATTGATTTTAATTTAAACAAATATTTATAAAACTTTTGTAATCACTAGCGAAAATGTCGATAATTTTTGTGAGCATTTGAGAAACAGCAAAATGAAGAAGAAAAAAACAAATTTCTTTGTTAAGTCACGCAGAGAGCTGCCAGATGGTGTTAATCACGCACAATTCTGACATTTAGTGACAATTAACCCAAAAACATGACTAGCAAATTACAAATGAAAAAGAGCTGCCGTTGTAAATAAGGTATTTTAATGGTGATTTTATTTCAAATATCGTCAGTTTTAAATAACAGTTTATTTAAATAAAGTAAATGAAGGAAGCAGTCAGTTTCTTGTTTTCATAGAAGAAGTTGTTCACACGATTGTTAGACATTTCTGCACATTTTACTGCCAACATTGTAAAATCTCACAAACGCGAATATGTTACACACTTCCTTCTGTCCAACCTAACTACTAACTAACTAAACTAAACTAACTAACTAACTAATAACTAACTAACTAACTAACTAACTAACTAACTCAACGAACGAACGAACGAACGAACGAAAAAAGAACGAAAACGAACGAACGAACGAAAAACGAACGAAAACGAACGAACGAACGAAAGAACGAACGAAACGAAAAAACGAAACGAACGAACGAACGAACGAAACGAACAAAACGAAACGAACGAACGAACGAACGAAAACGAACGAACGAACGAAGAACGAACGAAAACGAACGAACGACGAAAACGAACGAACGAAACGAACGAACGAACGAACGAACGAACGAACGAACGAACGAACGAAAACGAACGAAACGAAAACGAAAGAACGAACGAACGAACGAACGAAACGAACGAACGAAAACGAACGAACGAACGAACGAAAACGAACGAACGAACGAACGAACGAACGAACGAACGAACGAACGAACGAACGAACGAACGAAAACGAACGAAAAAAACGAACGAAACGAACGAACGAACGAACGAACGAACGAACGAAACGAACGAAAACGAACGAACGAACGAACGAACGAAGAACGAACGAACGAAACGAACGAACGAACGAACGAACGAAACGAACGAACGAACGAACGAACGAACGAAACGAACGAACGAACGAACGAAAACGAAACGAACGAACGAAAGAAACGAAAGAACGAACGAACGAACGAACGAACGAACAACGAACGAACGAACGAACGAACGAAAGAACGAACGAACTAACGAACGAAACGAACGAACGAACGAACGAAAACGAACTAACTAACGAACTAACTAAACGAACGAACGAACGAACGAAAGAACGAACGAACTGAACTAACGAACTAACGAACGAACTAACTAACTAACTAACTAACTAACTAACTAACTAACTAACGAACGAACTAACTAACTAACTAACGAACTAACTAACGAACTAACTAACTAACAAACTAACTAAAACTAAAACTAACACGAACTAACTAACTAACTAACGACTAACTAACTAACTAACTAAAACTAACTAACTAACTACTAACTAACTAACTAACTAACTAACTAACTAACTAACTACTAACTAACTAACTAACTAACTAACTAACTAACTACAACTAACTACCTAATAACTAACTAACTAACTACTTACTAACTAACTACTGACTGCTCATTACGCTAGTCTGTTAGCTATGTTAGTCTGTGGAATTTTCTACTGGGTAGTCCATGGACTAGTCTATTAAGAAACTATATATGTTTTTGACAAACAAAAGGGTTTTCCTAAATGGAATACAAGATTACAGTTATTTTTCCGATCGGACCACTATTGAAAGAGCTTTCACAAAAACTCTATGAGGTGAAGATAACAGATAATCTTTATTAATATCCTTTTGTGTATATGTTTATTCCAATTTGGGTTTTAATATATTTTCCATATACATTATATTTAAATGCACACATTTCTTGCAGTATTAAAGTCCTTACTTGTTAAAGACTCTGTTTAAATGACAAATTATAGCAATTTATCATGATTTAGCTGAAAGTAAATCAAATTGATTTACATACAGACACAAATACATCACAATCAGAGACGAATGATGTGGATGCCACAGACATCAACATTCAAAACAGAAGTTACAATTGTGGAGTTTGTCTGGCCAAAGAAATAGTCCATTCGCAGACCCATCAGTGAGATGTTGGTTTTAAAACAAACATTTTATTGTCTCCTATTGTTGGCCGTTGTTGGCATGGACATGTGTACAGCGGTAAGAATAACACAAAGGACTATATCGAAAGGTTTCCTAGTGCAAAGTATAATGAAATTGTTGAATAAATTGGAAAAGAGCAACGATTTAAATGTCAATATAAAATTTACCGCCATATTAAGTGAATTTTTAATAAAACGTAAGTGTAACTTGCTGAAAATTAAAAAAAAAACACTTTTTGAGATTTTCTTTTTTGGTTGTAGAAAAGCAACGTTATTATGAATCGAATCGTTATGAGCAACAGGTCTATTATAAATTTTTACAAAATTAAATCACATCATACGCCAGACGGAAGATGCTGATTTTGAGAGTGTTCATAAAACAAGTAAATTTATAAAATAAAATTAAATTTTTTAAATATTGTCTTTATATAATTTTATTTCAACAGTTTTAGATAATGTATTCCAGCGTAATATTATGCTTATTCCGCCTGTTCTCAAACAGCGTCATATTGATACACATTTTGAATATAAATCGCTTATTAAGGACTATGGCAAATTGGTTGGTCTGGGTAATCCCAATATTACTCAATCCGATGAATGTTTGGCTACCTTCGCCGCCTTGAATTCGAGTTGTCAAGTACCTAGAGCATGTATTGATCTGATGATCAGTGATCTGCCCACATATGGTTATCAGCGAATGCATCAGTGAGTAGAAATATTTATCGAAAAATATATTTAATTTTGAGTTTAAATTTTTGAACCCATCTAGAAGATTTATAATTTTTGTTTATGCAATATCTTGGACAGTTTTAAATCATTTACAAAAATTTATGGGCCACAATTATATGTACATAGTACGTACATACATATGTACATATGTAAAGAGTTTTTTCTTTTATCCTTTTTTTTTGCAGAATTTTACTTTTGTACGTTTTCCATGCATCACATATGTGCACCAACGTTGGGCTCACAAACAGCTTATGAAATTTTGGCAAGTCAGAAATGTACACAAGTTTATCGTGAACAAAATGTTCTACGTCATCTTAATATACCAGATGTTTACAGAGATTTATATTTGGAGCAAAGTAAGTACACATAAACAAAAGGAAAATATCACACAAAATAAAAATATAATATGTGAAAACAGTGGGTTCTTTGGAGGCAGGATTAGTGAATATATTAAACAATTACTGAGAATTTGCCTAGATCTGAAAAATTTCCAATAAATCGTTTGGTAGTCTTTTTTCTTAAGTGTTTTACAAAAAGTGGGAGTAAAGAGAGGCGTGGCACACCATTATGAGTATAATTTTTCGAGAATTGATTTTGAGATATAGCTTGCTTTTCATGTGTAATGCAGTATATAGTTTGGTCTACAGTTTGGTGTGTAGTCTATAATAGTCTAGTCTATAGTTTAGTCTATAGTCTAGTCTATAGTCTAGTCTATAGTCCAGTCTATAGTCTAGTCTATAGTCTAGTCTATAGTCCAGTCTATAGTCTAGTCTATAGTCTAGTCTATAGTCTAGTCTATAGTCCAGTCTACAGTCTAGTCTATAGTCCAGTCTATAGTCTAGTCTATAGTCTAGTCTATAGTCTAGTCTATAGTCTAGTCTATAGTCTAGTCTATAGTCTAGTCTATAGTCTAGTCTATAGTCTAGTCTATAGTCTAGTCTATAGTCTAGTCTATAGTCTAGTCTATAGTCTAGTCTATAGTCTAGTCTATAGTCTAGTCTATAGTCTAGTCTATAGTCTAGTCTATAGTCTAGTCTATAGTCTAGTCTATAGTCTAGTCTATAGTCTAGTCTATAGTCTAGTCTATAGTCTAGTCTATAGTCTAGTCTATAGTCTAGTCTATAGTCTAGTCTATAGTCTAGTCTATAGTCTAGTCTATAGTCTAGTCTATAGTCTAGTCTATAGTCTAGTCTATAGTCCAGTCTATAGTCTAGTCTATAGTCTAGTCTATAGTCTAGTCTATAGTCTAGTCTATAGTCTAGTCTATAGTCTAGTCTATAGTCTAGTCTATAGTCTAGTCTATAGTCTAGTCTATAGTCTAGTCTATAGTCTAGTCTATAGTCTAGTCTATAGTCTAGTCTATAGTCTAGTCTATAGTCTAGTCTATAGTCTAGTCTATAGTTTAGTCTATAGTCTAGTCTCTAGTCTAGTCTATAGTCTAGTCTATAGCCTAGTCTCTAGTCTAGTCTCTAGTCTAGTCTATAGTCTAGTCTATAGTCTAGTCTATAGTCTAGTCTCTAGTCTAGTCTATAGTCTAGTCTATAGTCTAATCTATAGTCTAGTCTATAGTCTAGTCTATAGTCTAGTCTATAGTCTAGTCTATAGTCTAGTCTATAGTCTAGTCTATAGTCTAGTCTATAGTCTAGTCTATAGTCTAGTCTATAGTCTAGTCTATAGTCTAGTCTAAGTATAGTCTATAGTCTATAGTCTAGTCTATAGTCTAGTCTATAGTCTAGTCTATAGTCTAGTCTATAGTCTAGTCTATAGTCTAGTCTATAGTCTAGTCTATAGTCTAGTCTATAGTCTAGTCTATAGTCTAGTCTATAGTCTAGTCTATAGTCTAGTCTATAGTCTAGTCTATAGTCTAGTCTATAGTCTAGTCTATAGTCTAGTCTATAGTCTAGTCTATAGTCTAGTCTATAGTCTAGTCTATAGTCTAGTCTATAGTCTAATCTATAGTCTAGTCTATAGTCTAGTCTATAGTCTAGTCTATAGTCTAGTCTATAGTCTAGTCTATAGTCTAGTCTATAGTCTAGTCTATAGTCTAGTCTATAGTCTAGTCTATAGTCTAGTCTATAGTCTAGTCTATAGTCTAGTCTATAGTCTAGTCTATAGTCTAGTCTATAGTCTAGTCTATAGTCTAGTCTATAGTCTAGTCTATAGTCTAGTCTATAGTCTAGTCTATAGTCTAGTCTATAGTCTAGTCTATAGTCTAGTCTATAGTCTAGTCTATAGTCTAGTCTATAGTCTAGTCTATAGTCTAGTCTATAGTCTAGTCTATAGTCTAGTCTATAGTCTAGTCTATAGTCTAGTCTATAGTCTAGTCTATAGTCTAGTCTATAGTCTAGTCTATAGTCTAGTCTATAGTCTAGTCTATAGTCTAGTCTATAGTCTAGTCTATAGTCTAGTCTATAGTCTAGTCTATAGTCTAGTCTATAGTCTAGTCTATAGTCTAGTCTATAGTCTAGTCTATAGTCTAGTCTATAGTCTAGTCTATAGTCTAGTCTATAGTCTAGTCTATAGTCTAGTCTATAGTCTAGTCTATAGTCCAGTCTATAGTCTAGTCTATAGTCCAGTCTATAGTCTAGTCTATAGTCTAGTCTATAGTCCAGTCTATAGTCTATTCTATAGTCTAGTCTATAGTCCAGTCTATAGTCTAGTCTATAGTCTAGTCTATAGTCTATTCTATAGTCTAGTCTATAGTCCAGTCTATAGTCTAGTCTATAGTCTAGTCTATAGTCTAGTCTATAGTATAGTCTATAGTCCAGTCTATAGTCTAGTCTATAGTCCAGTCTATAGTCTAGTCTAGTCTATAGTCCAGTCTATAGTCTAGTCTATAGTCCAGTCTATAGTCTAGTCTATAGTCTAGTCTATAGTCCAGTCTATAGTCTAGTCTATAGTCTAGTCTATAGTCCAGTCTATAGTCTAGTCTATAGTCCAGTCTATAGTCTAGTCTATAGTCTAGTCTATAGTCTAGTCTATAGTCTAGTCTATAGTCTAGTCTATAGTCTAGTCTATAGTCTAGTCTATAGTCTAGTCTATAGTCTAGTCTATAGTCTAGTCTATATCTAGTCTATAGTCTAGTCTATCTAGTCTATAGTCTAGTCTATAGTCTAGTCTATAGTCTAGTCTATAGTCTAGTCTATATAGTCTAGTCTATAGTCTAGTCTATAGTCTAGTCTATAGTCTAGTCTATAGTCTAGTCTATAGTCTAGTCTATAGTCTAGTCTATAGTCTAGTCTATAGTCCAATCTATAGTCTAGTCTATAGTCTAGTCTATAGTCTAGTCTATAGTCTAGTCATAGTCTAGTCTATAGTCCAGTCTATAGTCTAGTCTATAGTCTAGTCTATAGTCTAGTCTATAGTCCAGTCTATAGTCTAGTCTATAGTCTAGTCTATAGTCTAGTCTATAGTCTAGTCTATAGTCTAGTCTATAGTCTAGTCTATAGTCTAGTCTATAGTCTAGTCTATAGTCTAGTCTATAGTCTAGTCTATAGTCTAGTCTATAGTCTAGTCTATAGTCTAGTCTATAGTCTAGTCTATAGTCTAGTCTATAGTCTAGTCTATAGTCTAGTCTATAGTCTAGTCTATAGTTTAGTCATAGTAGTTTATAGTCTAGTCTATAGTCTAGTCTATAGTCTAGTCTATAGTCTGGTCTATAGTCTAGTCTATAGTCTAGTCTATAGTCTAGTCTATAGTCTAGTCTATAGTCTAGTCTATAGTCTAGTCTATAGTCTAGTCTATAGTCTAGTCTATAGTCTAGTCTATAGTCTAGTCTATAGTCTAGTCTATAGTCTAGTCTATAGTCTAGTCTATAGTCTAGTCTATGGTCTAGTCTAAGATTTTCAATTACAAGCGTCGGAAAATTATTTTTAGATTTGGAAAAATGTCTTGTCCAGTTTTAAGAGAACAACCTGTTATATTTTGTAAAAAATAGAAACTCTTTCAACTAATTGTTAAATTTTATTTTCTTTTTTTTTACTTTCAGATGTTATTTGTGGTCTATTTGGTTATGTTGAATTTATGAATTGGCACAATTTAGTTACAGTTTCTAATTGGCCACAGGAAAACGAATGTTTGTGTTTATTTTTTAATGGCGAAAGTAAAATTGATTGTAATTGTCAGAATCATATCAATAGTTTGGTTTTAGTCTACTATATCAATGGCTTTTTAATGTTGGACTAAAATATATAATGGCGGATATATCGGATGTTAAAGGATTGTATATATAAATGAAAAATGTTGTGTATCTCTATATATAAATGTTGAAAAAGCTTGATGTTATAAATATATTTAAATCATTCCTACGTAGTTATTAAATATTCAAAATAAAATAATCACTTTAAAAATTTCAATATTTTTGGAATTTCCTTTTTAAAAGGCATTACTAGGATAAGTCATTTTTAAAAAGAGTAATTCTTTTTTATTGAATAAAATTTATAAAATTTTACATTCGTGTTTCGTATAAATCTATTACTTTGCATTAGTCACAGTTTTTAATATTTTTAAATAAATGATTAATTTTGATTATTACCCCATGAAATAGTTTCATTAAAAATGTCAATAATTTATTCATTTTTATTTAAACCCGTGTCTTTTTATGCTCATCATCATCATTACTCCCGCAAGGACTATAAAAACCCAAAATAATCAAACCAAATAAATAAATAAATAAATGATACTGTACATACTTACATATTTAGTATGTATGTATGTATGTATTGTAAAACCTAAAGGATTAAATATTTGAATTTGTTTTTTAAATTGTCATTTTCGAAAGAAAAACGCTTCAGTTACAAACGATTTGCGTTGCAAAAAAAAAGTAAAAACAACAAATAAAAAATAAAAACCAGCCATTATAATAAAAAGGAATAAGGACTCGTATGTTAACAAACAAGTGGTAAACAAATATTTATTTTTCAAGTATTTGTGTACAAAGTATAGAGTACAGATGGATACAATTGTATGTATTTGTATTAAAAGTATTTTAGTCTGTATTTGTGTGAATGTAAGTATAAATGTATGTTTGTCTGTCTGTCTGTATGTACATCAGGTAAGTGGCGCAGTAAATTAATGCCTCATTTGTTTTTATTTGCTACAAAACGTACATAAAACGAACATAGAAACTTACTCATGCAACATCATCGTTTTGCAACTAAATACAAATACATGTATCTCAATACATACATACATACATATACTTACAACATATTTACTTACACATAAATGGACAGTGGTAAAGGAAGGTAATAAAATCAGATGGATCATACTATAGACCAGACCATAGACCACACTATAGACCAGACTATGGACCAGACTATAGGCCAGACTATAGGCCAGACTATAGGCCAGGCAATAGACCAGACTACAGACCAGACTATATACCAAACAATATACCAGTCTACAGACTATAGACCAGACTACAGACCAGGCTGTTGATTGTAGAAAGACTATGACTAGACTATGATTAGACTATGATTAGACTACATATGACTAGACTATGACTAAACTATGACTAAACTATGACTAGACTATGACTAGACTATGACTAGACTATGACTAGACTATGACTAGACTATGACTAGACTATGACTAGACTATGACTAGACTATGACTAGACTATGACTAGACTATGAGACTATGACTAGACTATGACTAGACTATGACTAGACTATGACTAGACTATGACTAGACTATGACTAGACTATGACTAGACTATGACTAGACTATGACTAGACTATGACTAGACTATGACTAGACTATGACTAGACTATGACTAGACTATGACTAGACTATGACTAGACTATGACTAGACTATGACTAGACTATGACTAGACTATGACTAGACTATGACTAGACTATGACTAGACTATGACTAGACTATGACTAGACTATGACTAGACTATGACTAGACTATGACTAGACTATGACTAGACTATGACTAGACTATGACTAGACTATGACTAGACTATGACTAGACTATGACTAGACTCTGACTAGACTATGACTAGACTATGACTAGACTATGACTAGACTATGACTAGACTATGACTAGACTATGACTAGACTATGACTAGACTATGACTAGACTATGACTAGACTATGACTAGACTATGACTAGACTATGACTAGACTATGACTAGACTATGACTAGACTATGACTAGACTATGACTAGACTATGACTAGACTATGACTAGACTATGACTAGACTATGACTAGACTATGACTAGACTATGACTAGACTATGACTAGACTATGACTAGACTATGACTAGACTATGACTAGACTATGACTAGACTATGACTAGACTATGACTAGACTATGACTAGACTATGACTAGACTATGACTAGACTATGACTAGACTATGACTAGACTATGACTAGACTATGACTAGACTATGACTAGACTCTGACTAGACTATGACTAGACTATGACTAGACTATGACTAGACTATGACTAGACTATGACTAGACTATGACTAGACTATGACTAGACTATGACTAGACTATGACTAGACTATGACTAGACTATGACTAGACTATGACTAGACTATGACTAGACTATGACTAGACTATGACTAGACTATGACTAGACTATGACTAGACTATGACTAGACTATGACTAGACTATGACTAGACTATGACTAGACTATGACTAGACTATGACTAGACTATGACTAGACTATGACTAGACTATGACTAGACTATGACTAGACTATGACTAGACTATGACTAGACTATGACTAGACTATGACTAGACTATGACTAGACTATGACTAGACTATGACTAGACTATGACTAGACTATGACTAGACTACTAGAAGACTATGACTAGACTATGACTAGACTATGACTAGACTATGACTAGACTATGACTAGACTATGACTAGACTATGACTAGACTATGACTAGACTATGACTAGACTATGACTAGACTATGACTAGACTATGACTAGACTATGACTAGACTATGACTAGACTATGACTAGACTATGACTAGACTATGACTAGACTATGACTAGACTATGACTAGACTATGACTAGACTATGACTAGACTATGACTAGACTATGACTAGACTATGACTAGACTATGACTATGACTAGACTATGACTAGACTATGACCCAACTGTCGATCTGCTTTTATATTAAAATAACCCAGTCACCATCGATATAGTGCATGTGATTTTGATCTAAGCAGACCCACATATTTCATTTCAATTAAACCCACCGTTCTAATACAGACAAATGTATAAATGTCTTAACCAGACATTGAGTGGCTTCTAACAAACAAAACAGAGAGAAGATAATACAAAAAAAGGAAAAAACAAAACAAAAAATAAATTCTCCCCAAAGTATAAAGAATGACCCCCAAATGTATGAATGAACTGTATGACAAAAAAAAAAAAAAAAAACAAAAATACTACAGTTAAACGGACAGACAGGCACACACACACCAGCAGGCAGACAGACAAGCGTATTTTATTAACAGAGACTTGTTTTTGCAAAAATTACAAAACAAACAAAAAGTACTACAACAATAAAGACACGAGAAAAAAGAACGTTTATAATTACAAATTGGTCTTTATACAAAAGGACACTCATGCTCCGCTGTACACGCACCCACATTCATGTGTAAAATGTAAAACAAGCGAAAATATTTTTATTAAAGTTTTGCCCCTTAAATGGTTGCTGCAGTAGGTTTTTTCTTTCGCTTTTTTTTTGGGCTCTTGCATTTTTGTTTGTTCGCCAGGTGTGGAGAGACAGACAGACAACCTCAAACCAAAGCAGACAGGCTCATTGTGCAAGGATATTTTCACCCCAATATTAGTATTTCAAAATAACAATATATAGGGGGGAGGATGAGGATAAAGTAAAGTACAGTGTAATGCTTAAAAATTAGGAATAAGATTAGTAGTTTGAATAAAGAATCATTTTAAAAATGAGTACTAGTTTATAAGTCTAGTCTTTAGTCTAGTCTATAGTCTAGTCTATAGTCTAGTCTATAGTCTAGTCTATAGTCTAGTCTATAGTCTAGTCTATAGTCTAGTCTAGTCTAGTCTATAGTCTAGTCTATAGTCTAGTCTATAGTCTAGTCTATAGTCTAGTCTATAGTCTAGTCTATAGTCTAGTCTATAGTCTAGTCTATAGTCTAGTCTATAGTCTAGTCTATAGTCTAGTAGTCTAGTCTATAGTCTAGTCTATAGTCTAGTCTATAGTCTAGTCTATAGTCTAGTCTATAGTCTAGTCTATAGTCTAGTCTATAGTCTAGTCTATAGTCTAGTCCATAGTCTAGTCTATAGTCTAGTCTATAGTCTAGTCTATAGTCTAGTCTATAGTCTAGTCTATAGTCTAGTCTATAGTCTAGTCTAGTCTAGTCTATAGTCTAGTCTATAGTCTAGTCTATAGTCTAGTCTATAGTCTAGTCTATAGTCTAGTCTATAGTCTAGTCTATAGTCTAGTCTATAGTCTAGTCTATAGTCTAGTCTATAGTCTAGTCTATAGTCTAGTCTATAGTCTAGTCTATAGTCTAGTCTATAGTCTAGTCTATAGTCTAGTCTATAGTCTAGTCTATAGTCTAGTCTATAGTCTAGTCTATAGTCTAGTCTATAGTCTAGTCTATAGTCTAGTCTATAGTCTAGTCTATAGACTAGTCTAGACTAGTCTAGACTATGACTAGACTAGTCATAGTCTAGTCATAGTCTATTCATAGTCTAGTCATAGTCTAGTCATAGTCTAGTCATAGTCTAGTCATAGTCTAGTCATAGTCTAGTCATAGTCTAGTCATAGTCTAGTCATAGTCTAGTCATAGTCTAGTCATAGTCTAGTCATAGTCTAGTCATAGTCTAGTCATAGTCTAGTAGTCTATCATAGTCTAGTCATAGTCTAGTCATAGTCTAGTCATAGTCTAGTCATAGTCTAGTCATAGTCTAGTCATAGTCTAGTCATAGTCTAGTCATAGTCTAGTCATAGTCTAGTCATAGTCTAGTCATAGTCTAGTCATAGTCTAGTCATAGTCTAGTCATAGTCTAGTCATAGTCTAGTCATAGTCTAGTCATAGTCTAGTCATAGTCTAGTCATAGTCTAGTCATAGTCTAGTCATAGTCATAGTCATAGTCTAGTCATAGTCTAGTCATAGTCTAGTCATAGTCTAGTCATAGTCTAGTCATAGTATAGTCATAGTC